CACCCTGTCCTCTTCCAGCCCAGCACTCGCCACACTTTGCATTTAGACTTTGATTTGTGCAACGGGAGGGTGCTGCAGCACATCCACGCTACCTCTGTGGGAGCTTGGGAAAGAAACTGGAGCTGCTTCCTCTGACAGTCACGGGAGATGTGGTCTCATAAACCCACTGCACAGAGGGGGAAACTGAGGCCAACAGCAAGGGAGGCTGCATTAGTGACCCTGCACTGTACCATGAGGTGGCCAGAGGTGAGCAAGAAGAGTGACCACATCTCATTTCCTGCTTGGAGGCACCTGGCCAAGTCAGCCAGGCCCCAGCTCAGACTCCCTCCACAGTGCTGGGACTGAAGTCCCCTAAAGGCTTGGCCAGGGGACAATGGGCTTCCCAGGTCACATGTGGTGCTGTGGGCAGGGCCACCTCGGGCCTCGCTTGGGTCTGAGCTCCCTGAGGGTCTCCCCCAGCTCTGCCTGGGGTTCTGCTCACTTCGTGGCCAGTGACAGAGCCAGAGAGGCCAAGCAGGACAGAGCCACCAGCATTTGGTGACCAGATCTCAGAAGTGATGTGCTGTCACTTGGCTGCATTACCAATGAGGCATGTGCCCCTCTGATGAGGGGAGACCTTAAAGTAGGGTCCTTTCCCTGTCGGGCTTCTCAGGGCCAAGCAGGATACCGAGGTTGAGTGTCAACAGCGCCAGCTTCATCCAGGGCCCAAACACGGAGAAGCGGGAGCCCAGCCCGCCGTGGCCCAGCAGTCAGGGGAGAATGCTCACCCGGGAAAGGGCTGGTGTTTTCCAGGAACCCGGCCTGCCTGGCTTCTCTCCTGATATGGGCCTTCCTGGTTGCTACCACGCGGAAGGTTAACCGTCAGGGGTCTGGTTTGTCATTCACATGGAAATCAGATGCTAAGGAAGTGTGGGGTCTACGGGAGCTGTGTGGGCCACCTGCACATGGCCCGGGTTGGCGCCAGCGTCCAGGCTTCCTGTTAAAGATAAGCACGCCTAGGGCCTAGCGCGGTGGGCACAGCAGGTTATCACGGCAGGCTGTGTAGATACTGAACCGGGTGACAGCTGTCCCCTGTTGGTTAGAAGCAGGTCCCTGGATCCAGCTCACCCTCCAGGGCTTGGCATAGCAGGAGGAGGGTCTCTGAAATGCCCAAGGGCCAGGATGCCCCTGGATGCCTTCAGGAGCTGGGCCCTGCTTCCACCACAGAGAAGCCCGGGTGGGACTGGGACAGGCACCTCTGCTGTCCTTGGATAGATGGCTCTGGCCACACTGAATGCTCCCGACTGTTTCTTGCCCAGCCTGGGAGGCTGTGTGTGTGGGGGGGCATAGCCCTTGCCATGGGAACTAACGGCATGTTGGCCCTCAGAAGCCAGCCCTGGGCAGCCCATGGGTGGGCACTGGCTGGAGAACAGGCCCATCCGTTATCTTTCCGGAGCCACAGGTAATGTTTAAACCCAAAAGGGAGCCTGGTGAGGTGCTAGCTGCCTTGACACTCACTTCTCCTCCTGGTGCTCTTGCCTCACCTCCGGAACCTAGAGCAGCTGCTTGTGTGCCAGCTCTCCAGGTCCTCTCCAGCGACACAGAAATCCCCTTCCCTTTTGGCTTCTACCACAAATGGACTCTCACCACAGGTAGCTGGAAAATTCAATCTCAACCATTGGGAGGCTCCTTCCCCATCTTCACTCTCTGCTGGGGTTGTGGCCTGGGCCCCTTCTTCAGGGCAGAAAAGCAAGCATTGACTGAGCTATCACAGTTTGCAGTTAGACATCGATTTGTACAGCTTGAGCAGGGGGAGTGGCACTAGTGACACACTCGATGCCCAGCCTGTGCCCTGTCTGGAGGACAAAGCAGTTTTGCCAGTCTAGGGGCAGCACGGGCCTCTTCTCTGAGGGTCCAGCAGGAGACACAGGAGTGGCCTATCCTGACAATCCGCTTCACCCTTCCCTAGTTCCAGAAAGGTCTCCCCTTGAGCTGGTTCAGCCTCAACCTCTGTCCTCCAGATCACATTGCTCTTGCTAGAAAGGTCTTTTGTCGAAAAGGAAACATCTTCCTAAAGTTTGCCAGGGAGGAGGCCAAGGGCCAGATTCCTGCTCTGCTGCTCTCTGATCTTCCCCAGCAGAGGAAAACTGGGCAGAGTTCCAGCTCTTGGGTGGAGGACAGCACAGACTCTCGAAGCAGAATGTGGAAGCTCTCTCTGACGGGGCCTGGTCCCACACCATGCATGATCTAGGGGAGGCTGATGATCCTCTTTTGGGTACCAGACACAACTCGCCTCAGAGCTCCTTCCTGCCACGTGCAAATCTGCACCTGCAAACAGAAGCGGGCAAGTCTTAGGCCTCATCATTACCAGTGGCATGGGTAGACATGAATTTCTGTGGTGTAGAAATTCAGAGGAATTCACATCCAGCTGGGCACAGGAAAGCTTCCTGGAGGAGAAGCCAGGCTGTGACAGTTGTGTGCTCTGAAGTGGACAAGCATGGGGAATGTTCTGGACCCTCAGAGCCATCTCCTGAGCTCCTGTATGTGTGGGGAAAGTGGGAAGTCAGGAAGAGAAGGCACAAGAAAAGTGGCCATTGTGGAGGGTTAGGGAGTCAACGTGGAAGGCCGGCCTGTGAGTTACAGCCTCTGAGCAGCCACCCCTGTGTGCCCAGCTCCTTCCTGGCAGCCTCACGCTTCCCAGGCCTTGTGAAGCCCCAGCTGCCACCCTCCAACCCCACCTGGACACCTGGACACCAGGTACGAGAGCCCCAGGAAGCAGGGCCAAGTCTTTCTGGACAGAACACAGTCACCCTGCCTGGGGTGGCCCCTGAGGGATGGCTCACATTTCAGCCCAATCCAGTTCTACAGCTGACTATAAGCTTTGTAACTCTTTTCTCTTCCAATCATCTTTCCAGAGTTCAGGACGAAGCCTGAAAAGTTCCAGGAGGAAGAGAGCATTTCTCTCTGTGATTTGGTGTCTGTTTGTTTAAAGACCTCATTGCTAAGTATATTTTAAAACTTTTTTTAATCACTCGTATCACCCAACCTTGTCCCTGAATGAGGGATAAAAACCCAGAGAGGATCTGGGATCTGCCACACACTGCTATGGGTCCTCAGGCAGCTCCCAGAGCTGGGGACCCAGGGTCCTTGTGTTCTCCAGCCCAGGGCACCTTCAACATGCCAGAGTGGGGCTTGTTTTGCAGCTACTGTGGCCTAGGGAAGGGAGGAGAGTGGGCCTGGGCCTCAGGAAGTAATGCTGCAGCCCAACTCACGGGCTCCTGGAAATCTCCTGACACTCCACACCCACATCCCACGGAGCTACTCATGGCCCAGTCCTTCCTCCACCAGGAGGTGCCCAGCATCCTGGAGCAGGCACTAAGTGACAAGTCAGGAGTCCATGGAGACTCCTTACTCGGCAGCACCAGGCTGCCCCTAATCACTTCACTGGCTTCCTTGGCTGTGAAAAACATAGTGGCCTGTAGTCCCAGCCACGTGGGAGGCTGAGGCAGGGGGGATCTCTTGAGCCCAGAAGCTCAAGGCCAACCTAGGCGACATAGTGAGACCCCCACCTCAAAACAAATGAAAGCAAAAAATAAAGAACAGAAACCTTCGAAAACCAAGTACGGGTGTGGGAACTCCATGGCCCCTACAACCACGTACATGGTTCCTTGGCAGAGTGAATTTAAACCCTGCTTTGGGGGAGTGTGGCTTGGAGGTAGAGTGCTTGCCTACCATGCCCAAGGCCCTGGGTGCCACCCTCAGCACCACAAACGAAAACAAAACAACGCCAGTTCTGGCATCAGACTGCCTGGGACTAAGTGAATGTGCTTGTGTGCCCTGTAGGTTTGGGTAACTACTTCTATGTCCTTTAGTGTCCACATCTGTAAAATAGGGGTCGTAACAAGAGGACCGACCCCACAAACCAGGTGTGAGAAATATGGAAGATAACTCATGCTGAAAGTCTAGGACAGTATCTGGTAGTGAGTGTTGTGTGTAATTGCGCAGTGTGAATGGCTGGCTGCGGTTGCTCCCGCTTCTGTGCCTCTACTAACACTACACTGACCACCCAGGATAAGATACCTGGAGGGCAGGGGTGAGTGGGGAGGAACTGCTTAGAACAATGTCAGTACTCATGCTCCTCGACTCTCGATGGGGTTGTACACAGTAAACCTATCGTGAATGGCAAGTATTAGAAGCCAAAAATGCATTTAACACACCTAACTACTGAACATCCTAGCTTAGCAATGCAGTGTGGAGAATATCCATTGTTTCCCATCCTGATGGCAAGGCTGACTGGGAGCCATGGTCCAGCGACTGGACGGCACATCAGCAGCCCAGGAAAAGATCAAAATTCAAAGTAGATCAGCACAAGTGCCCGTACTTATGAGATGGGTGCAGGTAATGTGTCGGAGCCCCCTTCTTCACAAATCCTTCCTCCTCACCCACAGTAGCCTCCCCCCAGGGCTGCGAACCAGTGTTTGAATGATAGCTGCTCCTTGTTTGATGTCCAGTAATAATGAGCTTGTACGCAGGTGAGTCACCTACCCCTGTTCAGTTTGCGCCTCCTACACAGCCTTACAATTCCAGAGCCATTCAGCCAACCATCCTGAAAATGTGTTCATTCAACAAACATTAATTGGGTGCATGGCAACCTACTGATTCACAGGTTGGAAGAGGGTAAAATATTACTTAGTAGCTACACAGGAGCAGGCAGGTGACAATGTTATTGGACACGCGTTTCCTAAGCTCCTGCCCTCTGATCTTGAGCAAACTATACTTATGTGACTTTGATTGTGAATTAATGAGGGCCAGCTAATCTTCCAGAGGATTTTAGTTTGTAGTTTTAGTTAAAAGCCCTTCAGCCTTCACAAAGGAGGACCTGTCTTTCTGGGTTGGGCTCCTTTGCTAGTTAAAAATTTTCTGTGTCTTTAAAAAGGGGCGGTACTCTGTCAAATATATCCTAAAACATAGGCTGAGAGTTCGTGAAGTCCCACCTACTTTCTGTGTCGTCCTGGAGCCCGGCCTCTGATTGCTCGCTGTCCACGTCAATCGCGGGGCGCGTGTCTTGCTGGGACACAGTGGAGGTCTAGCCTTTGGTTTTCTGAGCGGTAGGGTGTATTCTCCGTACATCCCACACCCTCGAGGCCCCTGCCGCCCGACCCAAAGGTGGAGCCGAGCAGCGCCTCTCGTGGCACCTTCCAGCACCGGATCGCTCCTCTCTGGGGCGGGACGCGGCCTCACGGCTCAGGTCACTATGGTCAGTGGCTCTGGGGGAGAAATTGGAAGAGGGAGCAGGGAGGGGACGCGGGGGCGGGGTCGCCGACCCGCGCCTGTGCTATTGCGGGCTCAGTCCCCTGCTCGGTCCCCGTGGCGTTCTGACCCTTGAAACCCTGAGTCCTAACCGGCGCCCGAGACCGGGGCGCACCCTACTGTCTTCCCGGGGCGCCTAAGTCAGGAGGTCCAGCTCGCCCCGAGGCCTCGGTCCCCGGTGCGTCTTCTCCAGGTGCCACCTGAAGCGGACCGTAGGTGCCCTCAACTGCAGCAGGGATGGGATCCCCCAGCGCTCCGGGTCCCGGCTTTGTTAAGGAGCCCTCTTCCCGCCCGCAGCTCGTGGCCCCACCCCGAGGGCTCGGCCATCGGAGACCACTGCCTCCTGCCCCTCTGCCCAGGACTGGACCTAGGGCTTGCACGAGTGGCGGGGTCGCTTGTACCTTGGATGGCTAGACATATGCTCCATCCCTGGATGCCAGCAGGTCTTTGGATCTAGTACCCACGTGGAGAAGCTGCCTCAGGTTGCAGCAAGTGAGTTAGGGGTCCAGGGAAAGCAGCCCAGAAGAACCCCAGAATCAGAGTCCTGGCCAAGCAGAAAGGCGTGGAAACAGACCAGACAGGGAAAGTGCTGGTACTTGGACTGGGAGTTGAATCCAGCCTCTGGATCCCGGTCCAGTGCTCGCTTTGTTACATCAGGTTGCCATGGGGGTCAGGCATCTTGCAGGGCGGTAGCTCCTGGGAGCTTGTAGACTGTGGGCCCTGGTGGATGTCTCCCCCTGCCCCTTGGAAAGTGAGAAGTGTGGCTGGGTTCCCTTTGCGCATCTGTATTCTGGGCTGCTGTGAGGACCTCCTGAGGCCGAGGTGTGGAGCATGGATGTTTAGCCGCAGATTTTGCTGTGATAACCAAACCCTGGAAATGAGTGTCCACTGGTGCCTGGTTCTTCGTGCCTGGCCTCCTCCCTCCCACACCTGGGTAGGAAAATGAGTCTCTACTGCAGAATGCTGTGGAGCTGGGACATGGGTCAGAGCCTGCTCTGAGTGCAGCATGGGCAGCCAGGGCCCCTGAGCTAGACTGTCCCAGACCTGCCGGCCTCCTGCTGGGGTGTGGCTAGGGAGGCCCAGGGCAACTGGAAGCATCAATTTCCTGCTTCTCCCTGGTGCCCAAGGGGCACTAGAAGGGGGCCCATCTGTTTTGATTGGAAACACAAAGGCCCTTGGGAGAGGGCAGGTGCTGCTGCTGGGAAGGCTGCAAACAGTGTGTGTGTGGGGGGGGGGTCCTATGCCCACTCCAGGTAGTTAGCACTTGGAAAAGAAGAGTCAGACACAAAGAGTAAAACCTCGGGTCTTCTTATGCGTATCCTGTCAATTATCAAACAAGCCCTCTGTGGGCTCCCTATTCGCACCCATGCTGAGCAGTGAGGAGCCCAGGTGCCTGCCTCTTTGAGGCCTGTTGGCCAGGCCAGAGCTGGACATGCAAACCCTAAGCAACTGACATAGCCTACACGGCTGACCAGGGCTGTGGGAGCACAGTGAACTCTGAGAGAGTGGGGAGTGTTGGCTGGGGAAGGCTTCCCTGAAGAGGTCTTGAGCAGGGTATTGAAGGATGTATAGGAGTCTTCAGAAAGGATTCACAGCAGAGTACTTCCTAAGCAGCAGGGATGGTGGGCTTAATGGCCTTGAAATATGCTCAAGAGTGAGGTATCCTGGCAAAAGTCAACAGCCTCTGTAGGTGCAGAGGACTTGGGCAGCCCTGAGGTGAGTCTGGAAGCTTTAATGGGGTAGGAATGAAGGGCTCTGTCCGCTGAGCTGTGGAGTTGGGTTGCGGCAGGGGAGGGACTGTCACATTCAGGATGAGTGAGAATGGTCTAGAGTGGACACTCTGGCAGTGAAGTAGACACAGGTTGCGGTGGAGCTGCAGACCTGTTTCACTCATTAACGCAGTGTCTGTTTCTGGGGCTGCTGTAATGAGCACCACGCGCTGGGTGCTGCAGAATCATAGGAGTTCATTGTCTTGCTCAGGGGAGCACAGAAGTTTAAGATCAAGCTGTATGTTGGGCCTCGATGCCTCTTAGGGCGCTTTGTGTGTGGGGGCGGATCTGGCGCAGCCTGACTCTCAGCTTCCGGTAGCTCTTGGGCCTGTGGCAGAGCACCAGCCCGAATGTGGTGTTCTCCCTGCCTGTGTCCAAGTTTCTCCTTTTATAGGGACACCAGTGTGACCTCACCTTAACTGCTTACATCTGTAGTGACCCTGTTTCTAAATAAGGCTATGTTCTGAGGTCTGGAAGCTAGGACGTCGTTATGTCAATTCTGGGGACCCAATTCAACTCAGAACATTCAGTGTCGATTTTTGGAGCATTCCTGTGTGCCTGGTGCTGGAGATTCAGTGGGGACAGGCGAAGTCCCCATCCTCATGCAGTTGACATTCTAGCAGAGGAAGACAGGGTGTAAGTAAACAAGTGGCCGTGTCTGTCATGGCCTGAAGTGCTGAAGCAAACTAAGGTGATAGGGATGGGTGGGGAGGTCCAGAAGGCCTCTGATGAGCAGCATCACCCGAGTCATGTGAAGAGGCAGAGGAGCACCCCAGGAGAGGAACAGCACGTGGAAAGGCCCCGAGGTGGACATGGGCGTGTCCTGTGGGAGGAAATGAAAGAAGGCCAGGGTGGCTGGGACTCAGAGCAAGGTGAGCAAGGGCCAAATGAGGTCAGAGCTGGGAGACTGTTTTCAAAACACCGAGTCTTTCTCTAAGGGAGGAGGCTGTTGGGGAGTGTCTTACTCAGCTTGTGCTGCTGTAATCAATGCCATAGACCGGGGAATTTATAATAACTGGAAATGTATTGGCTTCCAGTTCTGGAGGCTGGGAAGTCTGAGATCAAGGGCTGATGTTCTTGCTGTATCCTAATGTGACAAGGGTAGAATGATAGGTGAGAAGCCAGAGATAAGGGCCTAGGCACATCTGCTCCCATGAGAACGCCTTAGTCCAGCCCTTATGGGGAGCTCCCGTGGCCTAATCCCTTCTTAAAGCTACCGCCTCTTAACACTGTTCAGTAACAGATAAATTCCAACATGGGTTTGGGCGGGGACATCCAAGCTGCGGCATCCTGCCTCCCCACTCCATGCTCCATTATGTACTTCTCTTACTCAACATGCACCCATTCCGCCCTGGTAGCTCCCAAAGTCTTAACTCATTCTAGCCCCACTCAAAAGCCCGAAGTCCAGAGTCTCAAATGAGTCTTGTATGTGTGGGACTCAGGAAGGTCATATCCTGAGGCAGATTGCTCTCCAGCTATGCAGCATGAAGTTGCACAAATTATGCACATCCAAGACACCATGGAGGAACAGGCCTGGGACAGACACTGCCTTCCAAAGGAGAAGTAGCCAAGAAGGAAGGGGCACTGGTCCTAAGTAAGTCCAACACCCACAGGGTGAATAACATTAAATCTTGAGGTTCTCGGAATAACCTTCCTTGACTCTTATTTCCTGCCTGCTGGACCCAATAGGCAGGGGTTGGGCCCCCAGGGCTTTGAGAAGCCCACGATATGGCTTTGCTTGGCACAGCCTGTGCAGCAGTCTCAAGGTTGGAGCCTTGTGTCTGCTGCTCTCTCAGGCTGCTGTTATACACTGGTATCTCTACAGTCGGGATCATGCCAGCTGTCCTGTTCCTATGGCTATACAAAAATTACTGTGGTGGGAACTCTCTCCAGTGGCCCTGCCCTGTGACAGGTCCCTTTGCTCCCAGGCTGTCAGCAGTATCCTTTGAGAAAGCCCTGGCTCCACAGCTCTGTGTTCTCTAGGCTTGCAGGGCAGCCCCATACCCATTGTACCACAAGTCACTGCCGTGGCCACTGGGGCCTCAGCACTGGCCATATCCAGCCTTGCCCAAGCCACAGCTGCCCACCAGGAATATAGGCTGTCCTGGAATACAGGGAGCAGATGCTTGGGCAAAGCAGGTGGCACCTGTGCCAGACTCCTTTCTAGTCATATTCATCCTTTTAGCAAAGGCCCGCTTGGTGACTCCTTTGGTTTGCTGTCCCACAGATGTACAGATGTGGTTTCATTCTTTACATGGCCAGGCTGCAAACTTTGCTCATTTCATTCCCTTGGATTATAAAGTCCATCTTTATAGCATTTCTCTCCTCTCACATTTTACTCTCTGTGGTTAACATGTTCACAATGGAGCTGTAATTCATACATCTCCCTGCTGAGCAGCTTGAACCACTGGTGGTACATGCATGATTGTCCCATGTATGACTGTACCATTTCTACCACCAATGGTACAAGCTGCCCAATGGGAGAGTCATGCATGTACCACTGGTAGTTCAAGTCAATGGGAACGTGTTGAAAGAAGACACTCAGCAGCTTGGCTGCTTTGCTACTTAGAGAGTTCAACTACCAGGTATCCTAGCTCATTGCTCTTAAATTTAGCCTTTCACAGAGCCCTTGGGCAAGTTATCTGCCACCTTATGATGAGGAAGTCCTTCCTCATTTCCAGCTGAGACCTTATCAGCCTGACTTTTACTGTCCAGATTTGTATCAGCACTCTGCTCACAGCCACTTAAGCAATCTCTAAGAAAATTCAGACTTTCCCTACAGCTTTCCTCTTCTTGAGCCCAACCCAGGCTTGGCCTTTAATGCTCCATTCATGGTGATATAGGCTGTCTCCAACATGCATTTCAGAACTATTCCAGCCCGTGCCCATCACCCAGCTCCAAGGCCACTGCCATTACTATTTTCAGGAATTTGTTAGAGCAACAGCTACTCTAAGAGAATATCACAAACTGAGTAATTTAAAATGAATAGAGATTTATTAGGATATGGTTCTGGAGCCTGAGAAATCCAAGAGCAAGGTGCTAGCATCAGGCTAGCATCATAACAGAATGGAAGGCATATGGCAGAAGGAGAAAGCTAGTGAGACCAAGAGGGAATGAATATGCTCCATGATAATGGCCAATGGCATTAGTTCACTCATGAGGGCAGAGCCCTGACTTT